ATGCCAACCCCTCAGAGGACCTCAGATGATGCCAACCTTGAAACAACTTACAGAACTACCACATTTTGCTATAAGTTTGATTGCATCATATAATAATTGCTGTTACTAGTGTTCATCGTCTGTTTGATTACGTCTTTAATTGATTTTCCCGTACATTTCTGCCATATGTACATTAACTGACAGTCCCCACTGATAAACTACCACTAAATATTGTAGAAACTTAATTTGCTGTAAAGTTGCTTTGCAATGATTTGTATCATGAAAAGCGCTGTGCAAATAAACTTTAAAAACTTGAATTGAATTCTTGTGAAGGCCGGTGAGGAGACCATTACAATAGTCTACCCTGCTGGAGATAAAGGCATGAACAAGTTTCTCTAAGTCTTGACTGGTAACACATCTAATTCTTGCAATGTTTTTGAGATGATAGTATGCTGATTTAGTTACTGCTTTGACATGACTACTGAGACTAAGGTCTGTCTCCAGAATCACACCAAGTTTCGTGATTTGATTTTTAGGTGTTTGACCCCTAGAGTCAAGGTATGCATTCGCCTTGAGAACTTCATTTTTGTTTCCAAATGCAGTGACTTCAGTTTTCTCCTTGTTTAACTGAAGAAAGTTCTGGCACATCCAACTGTTAATTTCATCAATGGACTGGCAAAGGGAGTCAATGGGGCTGTAATCATTTGGCGTTAAGGCTAGGTAAATCTGAGTATCATCTGCATAGCTGGGAAAGGCAATTTGGTTCTTTCTCATTATTTGACTTAGTGGGAGCATATACAGGCTAAACAAGAGGGGTGTAAGAATTGAGCCTTGTTGGACTACGCATGTTATGGACATCCACTTAGACATATGAACACAGAACACAGGTTTTTAATATTGACAGCAACAACACACTATAAGAAGCAGAATGTGACAATTGATAGCAACTAAAGGATTTTTACACAGGACAATAAAAATCACAGCAGTATTACAGACATTAAATGTGTATAAATGAACAAAATGCTTTCCAATGGTTATGCTTGTGAATCCAGCTTCCTTCAACATTGATGTGACAAAGACAAAATCACTAAAATCTTTTTGCCACCGACTCATTGACTACATTCATTTCAGTTTCCTATGCAAACTCACATCATGACATAACCAGGCTTGACATGTCAAGTTTCCAGGGATAAGTAATCTGACTATTCTCATTGAAAAATAAAAGCATGTGCAATGCAGCCAATCAGAACATATTTGATGTATAATACACAACTTAAGACCAATTTTAGAATCTTAGACCAATTAAATTTCTTTGTGGACGGGGCTTCAAATCCAAATCCCCGCTGACACATTAAAATTGGGTAATTAATGTATATAAATTACATAAAACATTACAAAATCCAAAAAAGGTCAAATGAAACATTTCCCTTTCATTAAAACTTTGGTTAGCAAGCTAAGAAGCCATTCATCCAGAAGATTTCTTTGTGTTTAAAAACATGAGACACAGGTCTAAAGAAAGGTCTAGAGAAGTTCAGAAGCTGAACTTTTTAACTTGAGTGCCATGCTTTTAGAACATTTTGTCATGCACAATATGCATAAGTGCAACGGTCAAACATCTGTCTTGTGCATGTTTACATAGAAAAACAATGGAAAAGCAGCGCAGTAAAGTGGAAAAGCATGTTCCGTGTGAACAGCCCCTAATAGAATAGCGCTAACTAGTTAACCGAATATCACAATTTTTGAGCACTATTTTTGATCAGGAGTTGCAAACGGCCACCAGTGGGCAGAGGATTCAGTGCAAGATTTTATTGTTGCCAATTAGATGACAGAAATGACTTTTACTATGTTGTCGTGTCACACCTGGCTTGATCATGGTGTCAGATTGGTATGAATTACATTAATTAATTCAGCTGCTACTTCAGAATTATGTTTAAAGGTCTAATTTTGTCCCCTTAATGCTGTTAACTGAAATTCCTCTGTGGATGGACTGTTCCGAAATGTTCAAAACAAATATCACGTTACATGTAACACTTAAATACAAAGTGAATTTGGGTCTGGGACAATCTACAGGATACTAATAGGTTCTGCTCAGAAATCCACACAATAAATTAGCGAATGACAGACATAACTGGCACATTACAAGCAACTGAGCAGCATCTGTTGCTCCCTTTTTACCAGAAAACGTAATGGCTACATGCTTCTCCCGCCTTTCGTTGGCTACCATGGTGTCTAGTCCATTTACAAGACCAGTGGCTGAACAGGTGATTTACTTCATTAGTATATTCATACTACCAAACAGGAAGTCAGATAGTGCCAGCTGAACAGGTTTGGCGGTCAATAACAAGTTTGACTTAGTCTGTGTCTTTTCCTAGTCCAAAAACAACTTTATAGTCAAGAATGACTGTATGTCCAAAATCCCAATAGTCAAGACATAAGAGTCCACAGTGGCATTCAGTGGTCCAGGTCATTCTCGCTCTTCACGGGGCAAAACATGAGACCTTCGATGTTCTCCAGATCTGCTGGATAGGCCTGATTCTCATTCACCATCTGACTGAAGTGTGCGTCGTTTATAGACGACATGTTCATCATAGGTTGACTGACGTTCAATTTCGTATCTGTGCCATCTAAACCGAAGTTGAGATCACCATGAAAAAATATCTGATTAAGAAACTGGTCTGAACCTTGCTGGGATTGGTCTGGTCTGAAGCTGGCAAGGCATTGGGAAATGCCTTGGAGGACGGAGTCCAAAGTATCTGGGTCCAGGCTAACACAACCGTCCTCTTGTTTAAAGTCTTCATTATAGTGAATTTCCTCCATGACCTGGGATGGCATGTGGACGCCTCTGTCCATAACAGGGACTGCCATGGAAGCATTGGGAACGTTACAGTCGGGAGGGGCGTAGAATGGGTTGTCAAAATGCTGTGGCATGCTGAGTTCATTCGCAATGTCTTGATCTGCGAGAGGAGGGAAATAATACCCTGATGTAGTCAACAAAGTTTGAGAGAGTGATATTAAGGTTTCTGTTTATTTTAGAAACATGCTTACTTTGAGGAACACTGCATGGCTCGCTGAACTTCACATCAGACTTCATTTTCCTCTTGCGGTTGACTCCGTAAGGATCTGCAGATCAAAAGAGCAAATCAGATTAACCGTCCTTCCTTGTCACAGGGTGACAGGAGCATGTGATGGCGCTGACTAAAATGGCACTGACTATAACAGAATAATTTGTGTTCTGACAACAGAAGACCTATTATGAAGTATTGGAGTTTCCTTTCAGTTTAAACTACTTTTAAAAACTTTATAATGAAAAACTGACACGGTGACACACCCTCTTTTTGCAATATTTTAGAAACTAGTAAGAGAAGAGGTGACTCATTTCTGGGATACCTGGGCGTCTTTGCTTCAGTTAACCGTTCTTTTGGTCTACTTTTGTATGCGATTACTTTTAAACACAAGAAACCTAAAAAAACAATAACTGACATTTTTAGGACCATTACACCTTTTACTCAAGTAAAAATGACACAATACCATTCTAAACTTATTTATTTACAAAGAAATGCATACTGTTATTCAGGAAGGATGCACTAAATAGATCAAAAATTATGATAAAGAGTCAAAACTTTTCAATTTCAATTTCAAATGAATTCTGTTCTTTTCAACTTTGTTTCTTTAAACAATCCTGGAATGAATTATCATGGTTTCCACACAAATATTAAGCAGCACAAATGTTTTCAACATTAAAAATAACATTTTGTTTTAAAGTTTTGTGAGCAGCAAATAAGCATATTGTATGTAATATGATTTCTAAAGGATCATGTGACACTGAAGACTGGAGTAATGATGCTGAAAATTCTACTTTTCCATCACAGGAATAAATTACATTCAGTTATTTTTAGAGTTATTTCACAATATTACTGTTTTACTGTATTTTTGATCAAATAAATGCAGCCTTGGTGGGCATGAGAGACTTCTTTCGAAACTCTGCCACTAAATTTTTGAATGGAAGGATATTTATACACTGTAAAGTATTTATTATATATTTATAATTTGTTATACTTTTTGTTTATTTTAATAATTTAATATTCAAACAGTATAATCCTTTCATCTATCCATTTTCCAATCTGCTTATCCTCAGTAGGATCATACGGATGCTGGAGTCTATCCAATTTAATTCATTTAAAATGTACTAAATTTTTTGGCTTTTGATTTTGGGGTGAAATATACCCCCGATATTCCCTCACAGCTGTCACCTTATGTTATCTATTCATCTTGTCTTTATGGCGTCTGATAACTCACCTGCATTGTCTGGGACGTAAGTGAACTTGACTGACTCGCTGTCCATCCGGTCAGACATGCGGCGAAGACACACACTGACCTCCACCTCCTCGGTTATATTCTGCTCCCTGAAGGGTGGGGACTTGAAGACGATGGCGATTTGCCGGTGGACATCAGTCTGAGCAAACTCCGCCTTGGCCTCCCAGTCCTCCTTGCTGAAGATTATCTCAATGTCATCTATGGAGGTTTCCAGATATACAAATGACTCCTTTTAGAACGACTGCATCAAAGAATTTAATATGACATATTTAAAGTCCACTTACCTTTCTGCACTTTGTCACAGAGCATGTAAATTTCAGTCTTTCCTGTGCAGGGGCCTCTGACAACATTAAGCCGATTGATTTTCAGCTCTGCCGTTGTGGTCGCCTCTAATAAGAAAAACAGAAACAATCCAAACATCATCTACCAGGAAACTACAGAGAGTTTGCAAGCTGGCCCAACATGCATCTTGCTCTTACTCTTGTCATAGATGGGGTTGGAAACCACAGGGGCGAGGGGGATTCGGTCTCCATCCTTTCGTTCCACCTCACACTGGAAACACAGTCTCACCACGTTCATGTCCATGTCCTCAATGCTCTTAGAGTGGCCCGCTGGTGGAGAACAAGACAAAAACATTCAACAGATGCACATGCTCTACTACAGCGGAAGAGTATTATTAGGATATTATGGAGGTTGCTAACTAAGTTTCAGAACAGAGCCATTCAGTCTGCAATATTCAACAACTCACTGTTAAATGGATCGATATTCTTATTCCTCCTCTTCTGCAGTGAGGCATCAAGTTCCTTCCTCCGCACACACTGGATGCCAAGATTTGCAAAGCTGGAAAACACCAACATACTCAGGCAGGAAATAACATTTTTACTCTCAGATCATGTTCTGCTGACCATGCTGTTGCTCAAAAGATTGACGTTAACAGAAAGATACCCGTGTTGACGAGAGCTGTGGGGATTGATGTGGATGACGCAGACGCCATCTGCACAGTCTTTCCCGACCAAGCAGTGTGGGTGTGGGCGGTACGGGATGTCCTTTGTCACGAGAGACACGGTGACCATCACTTTCTTGATGTTATCAATGGGGCCTTGGATCTAAAACAGGTGAAAAGATAAAATACAGTTTTACTTTTGCTTTCATGCCAACTGGGTCTTTGTGGTTGCGTTATTGGCACAGGCTCTTGTGTTGAAAATACCCATTTATGGATATTTCACAATGGCAAAACGGATTAGTGAATATGTTTGTTTGTGTGGTTTAAAGGTAATTCCCTCCGTCAGAGCCCACGTGTTGCACTCCTCCCCGGGGAACTTTAGTTTTTAACTGCAATTACAAGTTTAACTTGACTTCATATACAATAAACCACAAACCATTATGGGGGAAGCCCCAATGTTATGGGATAGTCGGTGCATTCCAGAAACACCCACTGAAATAAGGAGTGCAAGCCAATTTCGAATTCATGTAAATGTAAAACGAACAACGGAAATTAATGAAGGTCTAATTGATGATATAATTTTTAACCCTATATGGCCAACTGTTTTATACTAAGGTCTCTCAATCATCCACGTGATCAAAACAAACAAAACACTTAACAAATAAAACACTTTTAGTATAATTCTAAAAATGTCCAGCTGAAGTAAGAATAATGTTAGTACATTTCATATTGTTAGTAATATTTCAAGATGAACATTTACTGGACTTGATTATCCATGATCATTTTTAGAAAAATCATGTTCAAATGTGGGTATCAAACATGATTTCAAACAAGCATTTATTTGCTCATCCCTCAATCATCATTGTGCATTGCATTTTATGTTTTGCCCCCACAATAAAAACCAGAGCTTTGATCATAAAACTAAGCACTTAGTAGGAAACATTACTGAGAGATATTTACACATTTTAAGTGTCTGTGGATGTATCAGCTATCAGAACATAAATAGCAGCAACTGCACCAAATTGCATATTTTTGCTTAGTTTGGGACTCTGAATAAAACTGTTTTTGTCCTCCTTTGAGTATGAGCTCCATGTTCTCCTACATAATACTATACGAACCATAACAGCCTGATGTATCAAGTACAATACTCAACAAGAAAAAAAAAAAGATTTTTCGTTTGTTTCAACAGATGTTCCATTTTTAAAAAGATAGATTCATATATCAGGCCTTACAGGGTTAAGAACAGGGTTCATTCATTAGCATCCATCCCAAACCTTCTTCCTCTGACTCACTTCAATGACAGGCAGGGTCTTGCTGGAGTCAGTGCTGGAGGCTCCGAGGATGCTGCCCGCGGATCGCCCCTCACACTCATAGCGAAATCGCATGCCACGCTCCTTCGGCTGCTCCACCATCACCAGCTCTGGCTTTTCCAGGAAGCGCTCCAGATGTTCTGTTCCAGTCTGCTGAGAGTGAAGACTCTGGGGTGCTAAAGATGACTGTCCACGTCGCTGAGATGCCACTTTGTGGCTTCGCATGGAATGCATCGGTGCCATACCACCAGTGTGCGCCGTTGGGGTCTGGTCAAAGCTGTATGGATTCTGAGAAAAGAGCTACATTTTAAAATATGAAGAAAATTAATGGTGCTTCTCTGTAGAAAAGTTCATTGCTATACAGTTGCAAAGGTTTCTGAATGGCTTTTAACATGTCGCTATACAGTATTTATAGTGTCTGCGGTTACTAATGTGTTCTAAACAGTTTGTTTACACCAAGAAAAGTAGCTATAAAGATGGTTAGAGAATAATAAACTTTGTTAGTGTCCAAATCAATGCACAATTGCATTGTTTATTCTGTTGTCTGTCACTTTAAATAATGTAGTCGGGTGAATTCTGATTAGCTTCAAAGTCTTTATTGTTTATCAGCTGGAAAAAATTTGTTTTGAAAGTGATTCCACAATATAATTTCTCTTGATCGTTATTGTTGTAGTGTGAATTTCCCTGTTCTCACTGAATTAGAATGAATATTAAAAATGTATGTTATAATTATCGCCCCTGGTGTGGTTTCAACAGCTGGATTTCCAGAAAACAAATAAATGAACAAACAACTGAATAGAGGAAGAGACCAAATATAAAAAAGGGGTTTACATGTTAAAGTAAAAAAAATTAATGGCTTGCCAATCACTGAATAATTTATTTTTAAACCCCCACACAATGACGCAGCAACACAAAGCATTCAGAAAAAAACACAATAGCTTGTTTTATTACTACATTGGAATCACGTTCCTTCTCTGACTTTCCAATTTTTGAAATCATTAATGGAAAGACAAACAATTCACCTTTAACTCACTCGAAGCAACCACCCAAAAAAAAAAAACAGCAAGAGAGAAAGAGAAAGCGAGTGTGTGAAAAAGAGTGTGAGAGAAAAGAGAGACAGAGTAAATAACAGTTTGTTTTACACGTGCAGATATTGAACACAAAGAGCACAATTACAATAACAGAGCAATAAAAGCATTTTTGAGGAGACAACAGACAAACACCAAGTCTGGACATGCCTGAGAATGGACTCAGATCGCTTACACAAAGAGCTGCTGAGAAGAGCCAGAAGAAGCATGGTGAAGAAACAGGAAGTTCACATAGATGGATGAAAAACCAGCCAATGAGAAAGTGAGAACCAGAGAGGAGGGTATGAGACTGAGTGTCTTTTGTATGGGGGAGAGCACGCTAACTGAAAGTAGGCATCGAATTACAATCACCCGTCGGAGAGTAAAAAAGCCTGATGTCATGAACAACAAGTTTCGATATCTACTAAAAAACACAAGACATTTTATATAGAGAGCGAATACACTCAATATGCTACAGAGTTTGGCCACAGCACAAACAAAACCGGATGAGTTACGCACCAAATTCAGTTGTTAGTGTTAAAGGGACAGTTCACCCAAAGATGAAAATTCTGCCATCATGTCATTCCAAACCGGTATGACTTTCTAGAACATAAAAGAAGATATTTTGAGAAATGTCTCTGCTGTTTGGAAGTCAATGGTCTTCTGGTTACCAGCATTCTTTAAAATATACTCTTTTTATGTTCCACAGACGAAAGTAATTCATACAGGTTTGGAACAACATGATGGCGAGTAAATGATGACAGAATCTTCATCTTTGGGTGAACTATCCTCATATGCAGTGTTGGGGAAAGTTACTTTTCAAAGTAATGCATTACAATATTGCGTTACTCCATAAAAAAAGTAACTAATTACGTTACTTAGTTACTTTTTATGGAAAGTAATGCGTTATGTTACTTTTGCGTTACTTTTTAAATCTGGACAGGGCTTGCTTGTTTGTTTTTAAAATAAAAAAGTTCTATTTTTGGCAAATATAAAAGCCTTTTCACACCAAAAGTGAAATGAATAAGCCTCAGACTGAAGGGAAAGTAAATTTAAATCCATACAGTAGAATGCAGAAGAAGACATTTCAACACACTCCAGCAATAAAAACAAACACATAAATGTTTGTCTAGAGTAATTTTAGCTTATTAGTACGGTTGAACTGGATCATCGAAGGTCAGAAGCAAAAACATTGGTTAATAGAATGGGATTAAATACATAAAGGATATTTGTGTTGTTTAACATTTAATTATTGCAGGTTTGCGTCATATTCCAAGTTGCATTATTTTTATTCATTTTGAGGAATACTGAATCTGTGTTTTTTTTGTGTGAGAGATGAATTAATGCATATTCATATTTATTTTGAACTACAGTAACATCTTCTGATTTCTCTCAACATGGGGACAGGAGAGCTGTCAATCAATAAATTGGAAAAAAAAAAGTAACTTGCGTTACTTATCTGAAAAAGTAACTCAGATATTCTCTTGTAAATTAAAAAGTAATGCGTTACTTTACTAGTTACTTGAAAAAAGTAATCTGATTACGTAACTTGCGTTACTTGTAATATATTACCCCCAACACTGCTTATAAGGGTTTCAGAAAACTATGTACAATAATGATAGTGATACCAGCTCTAGCAACTGATACAACGACTGCTCTTTTGGTTCATTTTAGTGTAACAGCAGAAAGACTCACATGTGGAGCTGTTCCTCTGGAGACCAACACCGGTGCGCTTCGCCTGCTTCTAGACGGCGGATCAACTGGCTGACTATCCTGGTCCACAGGTGGAGGAGGAGGACCAGGGAGCGTTACGGTCAGTTCTTTGATTGTTTTCTCCGTAAGGTACTCTTCTATAATATCTGAGGAACAGATTTGATGATTATATACACGAGCTCTAGTTAAAGAGATCACTTAAAAATACTTTTTTTCCATGTGACACAAAAGCAGATGCTAGGCAGAATGACACTCTCGTGTACTTTCACTGCATGAGAAAAAAAGACATGGTGACTGCGGCTGCATAACAGCTCCTTTTGTGTTCCATGGAAAGTCATTGAGTTGGAACGACACAAAGGTGAGTAAATAATGACCACATTTTTGTTGAACTATCCCTTTAACAGCACAAAACACGCAATATATTAAAGGGGTCATATGATGCTTTTTTAAAGATCATTATTTTGTGTATTTGGTGTAACAGAATATGTTGACGTGCTTTAATGTTCAAAAAACACATTATTTTTCAAATACTGTACATTATTGTAGGTCCTCTATGCCCCGCCTCTCTCAAACGCTTCGTTTTCTACAAAGTCCCTCCTTCCAACAAGCGCAGTCTGCTCTGATTGGCCAGCTGACTCAGTGCATTGTGATAGACTGAACACCGCAAGCACTCGTTGGAAATGTAACGCCCCTTACCATAATCGCGAGCTTCATCTTTCAAAATAAATGTAAAGACAGTAAATAATGTCATTAGTTTTACCATCAGTTCAAGCCCGAAAGGGGAACAGAGTCGCGTGACACACAGTGATGAAGCTGGTATGTGATGTGAACCCCTCCCCCTGAACTCCGCATTTGAACAGTCAATAGCAAATACTTAAACTAATAACAAAACAGTAGCTGATTCAGAAGCGCCAGATTGTCATAGCAAAGTCAGAATGACCTCCTCTCCTAGGTTCACGAAACGGTCGTCCATAAAATGCATTGCTGTTCTGTTGTAAGTAATCTTAAAGATTCCTAAATGCATCTACTTCTGGAAGGCCAAATAAAGTGCTTTTGCTTTCGCCTAGAAACACACAGCGTCTCCCTGACATGGCTGCTTCAACACTAACTGCGGTTACTGAAACCACGCCTTCTTTCTTTGCGTGAACATTTGGGTGGCATTATGCAAATATTTCCACATAGTGAGGTAGATATGTGGGGGCGTGTTAGAATGAGCCGTTTTAGGGGGGGCGTGGCAGAGTCTTAACTTTGATAAAGAATATCTCTTTGGTTTTGAGACTTTAGTCTTTGCAACTTCAGGGATCTTATCTCTGCACAATCAGCTTGTAACACTCCAAAGAGAAAGGAAAACTTGAAATCGCATCATATGACCCCTTTAAAGACCAAACAAAGTGGTCAACCAAGGTCACCTCACAATGACGTCACATCTGCACTCACCTAGATCTAGGGCTGCACAGAGGGGCATGATGGGAAAAAAGACAAGAAAAACAGTTAAACATGCGCATTTCCGGAAAACGAAACTGAAAGCAACTTTATTTATTTATTTATATAACACATAAAATTAGCTGTTAATGACAAAGTCGTTTGATAAACGTGTCTGCAGCCGCTTGGTTTTATTATCAGCTAATAAACAAATGGCCTAAAATGAGTCCTAAAACATACCAGATGATAAACATGCTTCTCGACAGATTAGAAACATTATTTTTGCAGCAGTAAAAAAGGTTAAGACATTCGCGGGCCTGTGTTGTTGTTTCAATACAGGCCTGTAACTTTGGAAACACCCACTTCTCTTAGAAAACAACTTAGTTTCGATGATACCGTGAACTTTCTTGTCATAAAACGTGATATGGCGTTCAAGTCGAGCGCATAACGCGCACATAATGCACTGCTTAGGCGTAAAGTAGAGCAAATGAATATTCCTAAAACATGCTGAATCAGAGGGACAACAGGGCCGAAGTGAAGATGTAAGAAACTGAACTGACCTCCCGCTGCGCCGTTCCCAACGCTCATATTTCTCATTGCAGGCACGAAGTAGAAGACAAATGAGTCTCGTTGGTTCCTACACTGTCGTGGGTCGTTATTGTGTTGAATCGCAATCCTCCGAAACCGCGATCAGATCATCAGTCCCGCGTTATGGAGTCATTTCCGGGTGCTTCGCCTGTTTGTTTTTTGGAAGCCTGAAGTCTACGGAAGCTTTTTTGGGAAAGAAATCTCGAGAGCAAATGAGAGACCGCTGTATCTGTGGCTCCTCCACTAACGATTGTGACACGACAAACACCTCTTTCACTTTTTCTCTTGGTAAGCTACAAGAGGGCTGATCTGGTGGGTGGAAATCCCCCTACGTCACAACTGGGGAAACCCCAAGGTTCATCACCATGACAACGACTAACAACAGGTGAGTTTCAAGAAAGCGCATCAATAACAGGTCAATAGTAATGTAAATGGCCAGTGAAAAAAACGAATTTTACTCATTTCAGAATAGAAATAGGTCACTACTTGTATACGTTAAAAGAAACAACAAATAACAAAGCAAAAAAAACTGTAAATTACTTTAAAGCCTTAAATCTATTCTTTGAATAATTTGTAATTATTTGTACTTGTTTACAGACGTGTTTTTTTTATTGCTTTTCTTATTTAGTTTTTATTTATTTATTTTAAGTATTTGTTTTCATTCCGTTTAAATGTTATTGCCCTTATATGTTCTTTGTTCTAAAAATTACAAAAAAATATATAATAATAATAACAGGTCAATAGAACACCGTTCTAACATAACCGATACATCAAGTAAAAAAAAAAATATATATATATATTTATCAACATTATATAAAACCGAAATGTAATTTAAATGTATGATTGGAGGAATTAAATTGCTTATATACCATTTAAAAAATATTATAAATAAATATATACACTAACGTTACCGGTCAAAGGCTTGGGATCAAAACGATTTTTAATGTTGTTTTTTTTACAGGAGTTTCTTATGCTCATCAAGGCTGCATTTATTTGATCAAAAACACAGGGAAAATTTAATATTGTGAAATATTATTATGATGTAAAATAACGTTTTTCTATTTTAATATACATTAAAATCTAATTTATTCCTGAGATCAAAGCTGAATTTTCAGCATCATTACTCCAGTCTTCAGTGTCACACTTCAGAAATAATTCTAATATGCTGATTTATTATCAGTGCTGGAAACTGTTGTGCTGCTTAATATTTTTTGGAACCTTTGATACCTTTTTTCAGGATTATTTGATGAATAAAAGGATAAAAAGAAGAGCATTTATTTAAAATATAAATCTTTTCTAACAATATACACTACTGTTCAAAAGTTTGGGGTCAGTACATTTTTATTCTTTCTTTTTTTTTTGAAAGAAATTAAAACTTTTATTCAGCAAGGATGTGTTAAATTGTTCAAAAGTGATAGCAAAGATTTATGTTGTTAGAAAATATTTATATTCTGAATAAATGCTGTTCTTTTTTAACTTTTTATTCATCAAAGAATCCTGAAAAATTAATAGCAGTTTCCAAAAAATATTTGGCTGCACAACTGCTGCCAACATTGATAATTCTAATAATAAATCAGCATATTAGAATGATTTCTGAAGGATCATGTGACATATATATATACACACATATATATATATATATATGTATGTATGTATGTATGTATGTGTGTGTGTGTGTGTGTGTGAACAACTGAATGTAAATTGCTTATATAACAAAATATATTTATTGCTATCATATATATATATATATATATATATGTATTAAATATTAATAAATAACTTCCAAGTAGTATCTCTGACAGTGAAAGTGTTGATAGTCACATGACCTCTAGTGTACATATTGCAAAATAACGTCTGATGTAATGAGGGCACATTGAGCCTGTTGTTTTCATCATTGCGTCAGCATTTGTTAAAACAGCACTGTAATTAAGGCAGAAAGTCTGAGCCGCAAATAACGCAGGTGATTTATATAACTTAATAAATCTGGTTAAACTGCCTGTTTAACCAGATTTCTTTTAAAAGGTAGGCCAATGCAAATATCGCCTACATACCAAGTACCCACATAGTTTCATAGAATATACTAATTAAATCACATGACATTTTCGCTCGGCTCGTGAAGGTCATATGACAGACGTGCATAAAATGATCACGTGAATCCTCCCACGCGAAGCAGAGCCCCAAATTACCGAACAGCAGCACTTGGGTTCACGGGTACCATGCACTATGCCGTCACCAATCCCCATCACCAGACTGCTGCCAAAGAATTTTGGGCTGGAGTTTGGCGCGTGCAGCAGCCCACTATCCAAAACAGCGAGCGGATCTACACTGCGTGTAGCATACGAGTAAGAGTTTAGAAGTTCAACAAAATTCGTTTAACTCTAATGAGTAAATAAACGTTGTTGGAGTTACTTTTTTTCGTAAGCACGTTTTACCCACATCGGACAGAAACGAGCAAAATGTTGGACAATTATTATGTAGCCTATGGTATCCTATGACTCGTTTCACACGGAGCGGGTCGCCTTATAGTGGCCGCCATGTTGAACAGCTGCATTTCACGCCCTTTATTTCGGAAACTGCTTTGTTATCGGACAACTTTGATCACAGAATAAATTAATTCTGTCAAATAGAGTGTGAACAGAGCATTTCTTATGACATTGGTGATTGAAAATCTTTACGTAATGCTGCATGATGTACGCCGCTAGGTGTCAGCACAGCATCTACAAATATCTGAGTGCATATTGAACCTGATTACATTTGTGAATATGGTCACAGCTCTATACAAAATAAATTGCTTTCTGCATCTCCCTTTACCTGATTGTTCGGTTATATCATACAGTAGGTGAAAAGGCAGAACACGTGACCGTGCAGATAAATTTAGATTGGTGACCCAATGTGTAGCTATCATCCAAAATTTTGGCAAAGCCTTACAGAAATGGTTGTAGAGAAAAGTTCTCGTATACACTTTAGGCTGCCAAAAGTCTAAACATTACCTAGAAATCATTCTTTTCTTTTTCATGGCCCACGTTTTTATTTCTCAATTATAAAAACACCACAAATAGGCAAAAAGTAAGCTTTGTTTTAGCCCAAGATGTTGCTCAAATGTAAATCTGCTAGTTTATATTAGTTTATACCAAAACCAACCTGTTCAAGCAATTCTCCTATTACCATTTTAATATTATTTCATATTATGATTTAAATATATAAAAAAGTAGTTATGGTCATAAGTCTTTTCATGGGAAACCTCTAAACATTTTTAAGGCAGAGAGATTTGTGCTAAACCAGAGGAGCAAGTATGCACATCATATGGTGTAATCAAATGTTTAACTTGCCCCGATTCATTAAGTGGTTTTGGTTTAAAATATTTGCAAAATTGACCATTTTCTTTTGATACATATTTTTTTATGAGCCCAATGGCACACCTTTAAAAAGCCAAATATGCAAATGCACAACTCTTGAGGCATCAATAAAACAATGTCCAATTTAAACTGCACTTATGCTTTACTATAAACATGAGTGATCAAATTTTGGAACGTACCAAAAAATAAAGCCCAATCAATTCAGAAGTACGGCAACAAAAAAAACAAAAAGACAAACCAGGCATTTCATCTCCCGCATTCTTGGACTGTCTACATGTCGAGCCGAACCAGACGTTGACACATGCTGGTCCAGCTGTGGAGTGTGAATATAATGAAACTAGTTCTCAGTGAGAGGACTGGCAATTTAGCTATTGCTAGACAGTTGATATCAGCATGATTAAGTTTTACAAGCTGAGATGCTGTAGCTTTAGAACATACAAAAGAAAATTCAGAGGCTTAAAAAAAAATCATGATCATAGTTATTAATATTATTATATATTAATACCTACAAGGCTGTTATTTCTTTATTTTTTGTTCAAGTTTTCAACATCAATTCTTGTTTTAAAAACGTGAAAAGTCTGTCTCGCACACGAGTAGCATTTGAACAGAATTGGCTGTTTTTTTTTTCTTGGCCACCTCCTTCCTACACTACACAACTGCTAACTGGTACCCCTTCACACATGGAATGAACAGAAAATAAGTACACGGAATAAGGAGACCGGCGAGGCTGCGTTGAGCCACTTTTCCTCGCTCTTGTACGTCAAAAAACTAAATGATATGTACTGCAATCGCCCTATTCAATCTAGCCAATAGGATTTAATTACGGACTACCTAACCTTTCAAATTATTAGTGTTACCAAACCAAAAATATACAATACAGTACATCACATTTTACTTCACTTTGACTGCAAAAATATGGGATACTGAAAAAGAATGATTTTAGGAAGTCTACATTTAATTATATATATATATATTTTCCTGTGGATCCCACACAAAGGAGGAACGCTGAACTGAACTTTTTTTTTTTTTTATCTGCAGTCTTTTACGTAATGCCATTAATCCAGTTCCCATCCCTGACAATTAAACAGAAACTCAGCCTTGAAGATGCCTTATTACACCTTCACAAGACTAGAGGGCAAGGGAGGGGGTTAAAAGAGGTTAATCATTCTTCTTCTCCCCCTCTGGTTTATCTGTGATGGCAGCGATTGTGTCGGCAGCTGCTGGCTGGGCTGGGCTGTCACTGCTGTGGTTCACTCCGCTGGTCCCAAACTCATTCACACGGTTGGGATCCACTCTGTAAATCCAGCGCTGATACAGATAGATGAAGAAGACCACATCTGTGGAGAAATGGTGGTACATTCAATTAAACCTAGATATTACTAACATGACACTACACTGAAGCAATCATATTGAGAAATTCAAAGTTTAAGCACGTACCATCTCGGAGACAACCTATTCTGTACATCATTGGCATCTTGATGACGAAGGCAAACAAGTCATCTATAAAGGTATTCAGGGCCTTGTAGGTGAGCATCCTCCAGGGAAGATGGGCTACTGACTTCATCTTGTAGTTGATGAAGAGCTGCGGTGTCATGGTGATGAACCCTTTAGGAAAAATAAAGCATTTATAATTCAAAATATGGCAAATGGATAGATTTTTTTTATTTATTTTTTTACAGTTGGACATGTCATAAGAACTAATGAAAAGTAATAATTCAAATCAGTGGGACACCTGAACAACTAGTCTGTCTTGAGGACTCACTCAGGGGTCTAACTAGACCACTTTTAATTTAACATGCCAACGGGAAACCTGCAACGCTCCTGGTGGGAAGCTAAAATGTTTGTTGCTTTAACGGCTGTTCAAATAAATTAACTTTTTTTTTTTACCATCCAAATGGTCTAAAAGCTCAGGCAAAGCATGTTGTCAGTATAATTAAAGCATTAGTTACTTAGTTAACCATTGTGAAGGATCTATAAAACATTTGAATGACAGTGATTTGAAAAAATATTTTTGAATGACATTGTCATTTTTTAAAGCTAAAATATCTGATTTCAGCACTAATAGCATCACCAAACAGAATTTCACACTAAAGTTACTATAGCTCCTACTACTAACAGTCAAGCATTAGTGATGCCAAAGTCATGGGGTTGATTCCCAGGGAAAAGCGAGACCTGATAAAATGTTTATCTTGAATGCAAAGCAAGTCCCTTTGGATAAAACAAGGTTTCTGTGGGTTTTATGAGGATAAACATAATACTTTAAAGTAAAGAAAACTGCAAAAAAAGTCGTTTTTCCTGCAGCATTTTTGTCTTGTGCAAATGTTGAAAGATCAAAATGCATTTACTTGTGAAGCAAAATAACATAAAATAAGTCTCAAAATGAGTTTATGATTAAACAAGAACAAATATCTACCAATGGGCTCAGAAAAAAATTAAAATGGAAAATATTTTTCATACCCCACTGACACATTCTTGTTTTAAGCGTAAACTCGCTTCAAATCTTAATTTTGCATCTCATGTACAATAAATCTATATTGATTTAAGGGTATTTCGATATTTGTATTGGAAAGCAAAACAAATACTGAGGAGGATATTTATTTGTAGCAACATTAAAACAAAAATGTAGGCTTTTAAGATTTTCTGTTCTGATTTAAGACCTTTTCAATGCCTTAAAGGGATAGTCCACCCAAAACAGAAAATTCTGTCATTAATTACCCTCATGTCGTTCCAAACCCGCAAGAACTCCTCTTCGGAACACAAATTAATATATTTTTGATGAATTCCGAGAGCTCTCTGACCCACCCATAGACAGCAATGTAATTACCATGATCAAGGTCCAGAAACGTAGCAAGGACATCGGTAAAATAATCCATGTGACATCAGGGGTTCAACCGTAATTTTACGAAGATTCCATGTCACATGGATTATTTTACAGATTTCCTTACTACGTTTCTGGACCTTGATCGTGTAAGGACCCTCAAAAATATCTTAATTTGTGTTCCGAAGATGAATAGAAGTCTTACAGTTTGGAACGACATGAGGATGAGTAATTAATGACAGTATTTTCATTTTTGAAGATTTACAGACTCTCAAGCCATCCTCATTATATTTGTTAATTTTTTAAATATTGGGTACAAAACCAAAAGAATATGCTAGTTGGTTAACTTCATTTATCAAAAAGATATATCCTTCAGTTATTTTCACACTTAATTATATCCATTAAAATTTATGTTACAAGTTTGAGTTACTTTCACTGATAATTTTTTGCTCTATGGTACATCATCTTTAATTTAATAGCATTAGAGCTGCTCCATTGCAGCGGCTCAGTACTGTAATCACGCATTTTGCTGTAATAATGCAGGGAACCACTTGTTATAAATCTTTCAGAAATAGAAGTAGCGTGTTTTTCATCTGAAACGTGCTGCGATTTATATTCCAAAGCGACACACATAATACAGAAACACTCATGAAGCAAGCAAAACATGCGCAACGCACACATATTTGTATTGGTGCAGAATGAGAGGGACAAGTACAGTACAGCCTAGCGCATTTACACTGGCTGATAATTTCACTTTCGCCATAAAGTCGTGTATGCATATAAGGTTGAAAATAAATGTTGTTTATAGTGAATGCCCCTGTAAATGTCGTTTTATTTTTACAATTTAGTTTTAATCCAAATGATGTGTGTGCTAAGTGAGCAAACATCAAAGATCACGCAACAAAAGTGCGCTCTCTCTCCTTACCGTTAAGTAACGTAACTTGTACATTGTTTTACTTACTTGTTTTTGACATATCCGCCCGAACTATAAACTTTCCAGTGATGTCGGTGAGAAGGGGATATTAATTCGACAAGCTTGCACATGTGCGCCGCCGCACGCTCAATCCACTCAGCGTGCTTTGCTTATCAGCTCGCGCACATCAGCTATACAGGCGTTAATACTGAATGTTTAACATTATATTAATTGCATACATATACTTCATAGACATCCTTAATCTCTAATAACTCCATTCTGCGGTCTGTTGTCAGTGTTTCTTTGTCAGTATACAGCACTTATCACATGCTGTGTGGTATATCAGCATTTGGTATCGGGGCATTTTAATGAGTACGAGTACAGGATCTCAGTATCGGCACATCCCTAGTATTTATTTACCATTCTTGAATGCCAAGAACTCAAAAATGCTGTGGACGATGGAAACAACGATGGTCAGTCCCAGGAGGTAGGGGTTGGTCTCAAGTAGAGCCACCTGTTGAGACAATAAGCAAGTTTTTTTTTGTTTAACACAAGACATTTTAATGGTGTCTCTCAAAGTAGTTACATTGCTTGTAATCGTAACATTACATCATTAATTAATCATCATGATTTAGGCTCAGAAGATTATCTGCTTGCTAACTTGTGACTGTTTAGTGTCTAAGCGTCTGCTCATTTAAATTGAAATTACTACCTGAGCAGGTGTTTATGAGCACTACTGAACACTTTTTTTTCTTTTTACAACCAATAAAGATTTTTCTACTAATATTTGAAGTGTTCCAATACAAATTGCATTTCTGCATTTTACCACAACAGCTAAATCTATTTGACAATGAAAAGACAATATGCACTATCACTGTTTTATTAATATGCAAAATATTCTAACAATAATTTTATTATTAACTGTCAATTGTTTCCTAAATGGTCTAAATTACCTCAAATACATTTTTATTTTGGACTATTTAAAATATTGCGTTGCTAACTTAAGAATGAATGGCTATAAAAAAAAAGTTATTATACAAACAATACTTTACATAAATAAGCTACAGTATAATCATGATGTAATGGCATTGTAGGGTACTATTTTCTGATACCCAACAAATGGCGTCACTTATCTGTACTTGCACAATTAAAAAAATAAAAGTAAAAAATATATATATTGATTAAAACCAATTATCCATATAGTGATATTTATCTTCTATATTTTACATTTAGAAGTTCCAAAAACAAATATTAAAACCATATTCACATTTCCTACACTCCAATTTCTATATCCATACAACTATAAACATTTTTGACCCTCATTTGCTCTCAAACATTTTAATGGTAAAGAAATCCCATCCCTCACTTGGATCACTAAACCAATAAAAATATTTTCTTGAGTGCAGTACAAACCTTAACAGAATCCTGGTCCTCATCTGACTGCTCGTAAGTGTCCTCTCCCAGGAAGTTCCAGGGGGAACGGGCATTCTGGGCGGCATATAACTGCCAGCGCCACAAGGAGAGGGGGCAGTAGGTGAGTCGGAGGGGCAGATTCTGCAGGGTATCGTTTAGGGAGTAATAGTCCTTCTGCAGGTTCCAGTAGTCATTGAAATAAACAATGGGATAGTAGTCTCCACTCACTGCATCAAACTTTACATCTGAGAGGAACAAAAGTGCTCAGGTTAACCAGGGGTGATTTTAGATTCATCTAAGGCTTAATAAGTTGTTTAAAAAAAATATGAGAAGTTTAGCACCAAAAAATAAAAAACCTACGCTGGTCAAGAGGTGGGGGGACAGAGCCTTTCACCCAAGCTGTGTGATCGTCTACCATGTTGATAGTGAGGTTGGGATGCCAATGGGATATGATCTCCACAGGCCCATGACTCTCAGCCCGCTGGGAATGTACAAACATATCAAAACATTAGAAACTTCACAACACACATGTCCCAGAATGCACAGGAATGAATGCCATAGGGAAGAAGATGGCGGACAAACCAAGATCAATACCGATTAATTTATTTCAATGAGGCAAATCTCTATTTTTTATTTTTTTTCAACAACTTACCTTGATCATTTCTGGATCAGCTTCGGTTTCTCCTGTCAACAGGTTCTTGGTCTTGAGGAACTTCCTCCTCTTGTACTTGTTGAGCACTGTTGAAGAGGAAGCGTGTGAAAACGGGCTCTAGGCTTTAAAGAGGGTTCACCCATGCATTGATAATGTGTTATTTTAGGCCTGCTGACACAGTCAAACGTGTATGCAGCAAAAACACGAGTGTCACAGAGGTGAAAGAGTAATACAACCAAAAACTGGACACACTCACTTCGAGTGGAATGGACCGTGGACAGTCTGCGGTACTGGCCCTTGCGTTTGGGATCTGGGTGGAAGCCACTCTTGGTGAAGTAAATGTGGATGTATATAGAGCCGTTCTGCTTCACACCCTGTACGAGCAAACAGAGGCGGACTATCAGCAAATCATGCCAAAAAAAAAAAGTGTATTCTTGGATTTCGACAGTGCCGCTAAACATGTACAATCCAAAATCAATGTTACTTCTTACAAAACCATGCATGTCTCATATCGATTCCATTCACATTTATAGAAAGCTTTTGAGTCCAACCTCAGAGAGGTCCAGCTCTTGGTAATGCTCATGGCAGCCATCTCCCGACTCCCCTGTGGTCCAATCTCCATAAACCAGATCTTGCTGGTACCAGAACAATGCTTCTGTATTGTTAAAATCTGTAAATATCTCATTCTCAGAGATATATACATATAAATCCTGTGAAGAGACAGGTAACAGTATTATCAAAGCAGCTACAAACCAGATCTTACGGAGAATTTGGTTATGTGCTTGATTAGATATCCTGTTTATATAGTTATATGTGTCAAATGATTATACTTTTGATTATGAATACCATAAGGGTGTCCTTGGTGAAGAGGTTTCGGCTGGGCACTCGTGGAGCTCCAGCGGGAGTGTTGGGATCTGGAGTTGATGGACCTCTGCGGAACCAGCTACTTATAGCCCAGATGATAAAAATCCTGGGTGATACACAAACACAAGAGCAGACTCACGTTAGACTTCAGCCCTATGATATTCAGAAAAAATAATCCCAAAACTCATGATGCAATACTGTTGCCTTACATCTATGGTACGAGACAGATTAAAAAAAAGTTTTTGTTTGTTTCTTTTTGTAAAAAACAGCCTCTAGCAGCCCACCTTAAATATGAGTAAAGTGAATTTATAGAAATATTACTAAAGAAGGTAATTACTGTAATTGTGACAATAAGCTTTATATATTGCATAAGTATGAAATGTTAACATAAGTTAACATAAAACCCCCTGACATCAATTAGAGCACCCAGAACAGCTCAGGAGTTGAGTTGCTTTCCTCTCACGGGATGACTGTTGAGTAATACAGATCCTTATACTGGGGTTGTTACAATATCAAAACTTCAGTAAACAATTCCAGCCAAAGTTGACAATTCTCAAACCTATTTTGATACTACAGAAACCCCGGAGATGTCATTAATAAGTATGACCAAATCAACTATTCAAATGCACTGAAAAACAGCAAACCTAGCTCAAACACACTATACCAAATGATCTATAATAAGTTACCAATCACATTACTGAGTTTTACAATGGTCAAAAACAAACCACCTCTGTCAAATAAAGACCGAAGTGCAGGAGGTTCTTAAGGTACATCTGGAGACAAGGAAAAAACAATTATAGAATTTAGGTGCACAACATTAAGGACTCACCTGAAGAGGACACCTTTAATCACCTGCCAGGCACTGGACTGCGGTTGCTGTTGTTGTTGTTGTTGTTGGGGGTCCAGTGCAGTCACACCTGTCTGAGCTACCTGACCTGAGGCAGCTGCCCCATTACTGCTCACCTGCACAGAACATTTGTGATAAACAAAATAACTATACAGTGCTTCCCACAGGTTTGAAATATACTTCTGGTGGTAGCCGGGTGGAAAATCCTCCTATTACCCATGGCACAAAAATGGTCTACATGTGACAAATAACAAATAATGTGTGATTTTAAAAAATATTTAATTTATTGAAATTAATTTTAATTACATAGGCTACTATTACATTTAATTACATACTAATATTATGCATTATTATATGCACTGTAAATTATGCAAAATCACAGCATTTAAATGGTAGAGTTCTCCTTACTTTGTCAGTGTCTCTCTCAGTGAATGGGACACAGATTTTACTGATACTAGTAAAATCTATATATTGAATAATGCGTGTCAGATAATGTTCTTAGTCTTTTCTTCCTGTGGGGAAGCATCCCGTTCCCAGCCAGAAACTACAATAATTTACTATGAATTAAATGGAAATTTAATTAAATTAAATACAATTAATTGTGTCACCAAAATACCAATAATGCCCAGAAAAAAACTTAACATGTGACTTTTAATTATAAACAAGCCCGAAATACACCGGGACTCTTATTTTGAAATGTCTATACTATTGTATATGTCTAACTAAGCAGAAAAAAGAAAGCCAAGTATTAGCCTACAACTATAACTTTACATGATTGCATTTATTTTTGATAACCCAGTCCGACAGGTCTTGGAAGGATGCCAACTAAAAAAAAAAAACACAAACACATTTTATTGCTAAATGTCATATTTACAAAAACAGATCTCAAAAACCCCAACTGCACTATCTACATTCAAATGGGTGCTTTTTGCACAATTTTTTTTTTAAAAATCCTAATAACTTCTCGGACAGACAGACATCAGTTCAGGTCTGAGAAGAGAGGCAGGTGAGAATTGTCTGATAGAAGCCTGCCATTGACTCAGTCTAACAAAAACCAAAACGTGACCAGTTTCAACTATGACCTAGAAACAAAGATAATATGATTTACAAATGTATAATTACAAGCTCATACAGTGACTACAGAAGCTTTCTTCTAGCTTTGCAACTGTTCTAGCTCGTTCCTGTTCTTTTAATTGGTGATCAGCTAAAAGCAATTTGCCTGGGAAAATGATTTAGATTTGACACACTGCTGAACAGGGTAAATATTAAACTTAAATCTTTTTGAGCATGGAAATATTTCTGACTGGATTTAGGTCAACTAAATGGAAGCAGAAGACGGAGATTTGATTTACAATGATTCTGGTTACAGTCCAGATGTCTAAAGATTAGAGATAACAACTCTGAGATAACAATAAGTCCAAAAAAGCCCTGTCACCAAGATCAGGGATGGGATCAAAACATAAAGCCAAAAAATATAGAATACAGTAACATATCAACAAACGTATAAATTGTGGTACGTATGCAACAACATGCGAAATCGACCTTTGGATGCTATCAATGTCTGTGTTTACACACTTGCATAGAGTACTATATTTCTAGAGTACATTCACTGTTCAAACCTCGAGCAGTGAATGTGGGCAGCCAGCCAGTCATTGCCAATCCTCATTCTGAATATGAGGTAGCCCAGGGCTCTGTCCTGAGACCTCTATTGTATTGCACCCAAATAAAAGTCCATTGTAGCTTTCTGATGACATGGTTGAGGTCACCCCAATCACAGATGATGGATCATAAAAGGTGGAGATTCTGATGCTTTGTTGTCATGGTAATTTTTGTAAACAGAATTACACCCCCTCACTATTAACAGAGACCCCACCTAGAGATCGATTAATATCAGTTAACCAGACATTGGTGCAAAAACACATTTTAAAATGGAGGGGGGGGGGGGGGGGAAGGGGGAAAAAAAAAAAAAAAAAAAAAAAAACCCCACACCTATAATAACCTAGCCCTTCTCAGTATGACCTGAACCATTTGAGTACCACCCCAGAAACCCCAACCCAGTTTACCAGTCTCTCTAGAAGTATGTTATAATCGACAGTGTCAAACACAGCACTGAAATCTAGTAGTACCAGCACTGATATTTTGCCAGACTCAGAATTTAAGCGAATATCATTTATTATCTTAATGAGCGCTGTCTCTGTGCTGTGATACTGTCAGAAACTAGATTGAAAATTGTCCTGGTATCCATTTGAGTTTAAGTAGTAGTTCAGCTTATTAAAAACTACCTTTTCAATAATCAGGGAGTTTGGAAAAGTCCCAGAAAGAAGTGTGGCGTTCACCACTTCTAAGAGATCTGCTTCTAAACCGTTAAACACACTTTAAAAAAAAAAAAAAAAAGAGGAGGGGGGGGGGGGGGGGGGGGGGTTAAGACAAAATTACATACAAAGGACATCAGACCAGTTTTCTGTGTTTCCTATAAAATTATCAAGCTTGAGATTTCAAAAGGATTGCTGGGAAACCATTATCCACTTGTTTACATTTGGCAGCCCACACGGTTTTGGAAAAAGGTTAGTAAACCTGAGTAATGTTTATGATTGATACCACCTATATGCCCTGTGTAATCAGTAACCACAGGGTTATTCATCCAAATAAGTGAAGCTAACCTTGCTATCAAAGCTACTTAAAGGGGTCTTATTATGCTCTTTTACAAAGTCTTGATTTTGTTTTGGGGGTGTACTAGAACAGGCTCTCATACTAGATTGTTCGAAAAACACATTATTTTTCACATATTTTACATTACAACAACACCTCTCTCCCCAGTCTGGCATGAACGGCTCGAATAGTTCCTGTATCAAATGAAGACCTGCCTTCTGAAATACGAAATGTGCTGTGATTGGTGTGTGATATCACAAATCCCGGGAAATATGTGTTGTAGTTTTTTAAAAAGTGATTTCTGTTAAAAACAAATATCTCCTTTTTGAATTGGACTTTGAGCTTTGTAACTTTGCAGATCTTTTTTATGCTCAAACAGCAACATTACAGACTAACTAAAGTTGAAAATGTCCCATAATAGGACCCCTTTAATCCAGCAGCAGGCCAATAGCAAGTTCTCACTCTTGATCTGCTATCCTGAGGGTTTAGGTCTTAACTCCACCAAAAATAATTAACCAAAGTCATCATGTTCATTATGAAATAACAGCAGGAGCATTGCTGCAATAAACCTCTGAATGAAAGCAGATCTCTAATAGCAGGACTGATCACCCCTGACTTAAACCAATTACCCAAGTAGCTGACTGCACACAACATGCTATAGCCTAATCATTACTAAACTTCTCACCACCACTACAGTTCCTGTCTACACAAAGACACGTGCTATTTTGTCACTATAAGGTCTAACTGGCTGATTAATAGGATTGCACAATACTGCCATCTTTAAACCGCTTTGACAAGTGAAGCTAACAGAAGAGCTAGGCAGCTACTGTAGTTAGCCAGCATGCTAACACTGATCAACTCAGACATCAGCTCATAACTCTACGTAGATCAATATCTGAACAGCCGCCTGTAATATAGGCTGTTTCTCAAAGCCTAGTCAGCTGTCTACCTAGACAGTTTAAGGGCATCAACGACGGGTTCAAACACGATGATGCCCCAAAAATGCTGTCAAGGAAAGCAGCAGTATGCTAGGCTTTGAAATACAGTCTGTGTGATAGATAAACTGAATAAATTAAGCTTTGTGCTGTTTTAGTAAAAATAAGATGTTCCGGTAAAAATAAGCCACACAATCGGACAGACCCTTCGTGACTCAGGCAGCATTTCTGCCCCAATGCATGCTGACTTAAAGGGGTCGCTGATTCAGACCGGCAATCTGGTTTTCTTCTTTAAAACGGACACGAAACAAGAATTTACTTTCGTGAACGTGTGGACTATATTAAAGCTGTTTGTTAACACGTCCATTTGAGAGGCTACACTTTATCATTTCGGCTATTCTTACCTCTCCGTTGCTGACGGACGACTGCTGTGCTGCTTGAGTCTCCTGCGCCGCCATCTTACCTGTCTCAAGCGCACAGACGCACACTGTAATGTGGTGGTATGTAATCTGATATATCGCGAGAGTTTCTGTGAGAGAGAGTTGTGACAACTCCGTTCACTCCAATGGACCAGTTTTTTTTACAGCAATGGCGGATCTTGGAGCCGCTCAATAGTTCCCGGATGTTAGCGCTCATACTATCAGCGCCGTAGAGATGCAGCAGAAGAGACCGCTGTGATGAACTTTTAAAAGGTAAGACATTTATAGAACAAAATAGTATATTATCAGCACAGCTAATCAAATTACCCTGTGCATTAAAACAGATGATTATTAGATTATTCCTCATTTAATTAGTAGATTTACGGGATGTTATTCATTCTCTTCATGCGCATTCACACTCCTTTCTGTGAGTGCGCACTCCCACGCAGCACAGCAAACTATAGTGGAGACTGTTCAAGGACAACATGCTTTATAGTTTATTATAAATGTATAAATCGATTGCTGTAAATAAGTGCATAACAAAAGTCAACATACATGAAATATATGATTAAATGTGTACATTTTTTTAAGTTGTTTTAAATTGGAATATACTACAAATATATTTTTATATATTAATTACTGAGGGGTGCACAAGAATCAAAAACATGGAACAAGATTAGTTTTCACTTAATAAAATATCTTCATTTATTTGGAACGAATTTTCTAAGACAACAAACTTAACATTTACCATGAGATTAGTAAAACGACAATGAACAGGTATATTTGTGATTGAACTTGACTAACAAGCAAGTTGTAAGAACACACATATATAATTAGTGAGTTACCTTGGCAGAAGACCACGATGTCTTTATATAGCAAACACGGACTTGTACCATGGTAAAGCCTAAAATATGTTAACAAGGCAGGTAAGGATAGCTGACCA